CTCTACCACTTGAGCCACAGCGCCATTTCCGGTTTTCTAGTGGTTTATTGGAGATAAGAGTCTCACGGACTTTCCTGCCCAGGCTGGCTTTGAACTGCGATCCTCAGATCTCAGTCTCCTGAGTAGCTAGGATTACAGGCGTGAGCCACCAGCACCCGGCTCGAAAATAATTTTATATCTAGCAAAACACCTTTCAAGGATAAAGAATACAGATCAGCTGTTTTTTGTTTTGTTTTTTTAATCAAAATTACATCGCAAGGAAGATTGTTCCCATGGGCACTTTCTAAAGAAACTGCTAGAGAGAGTGCCAACTGTTTCTGGAAAGACTAGAGAGCAAGTGTTTAGGCTCTACAATCCACAGCATGTGTTTTAAGATATCTACAACTTATTAAATACTTGTAAAAACCTAAGTGTGAATGGGTAATAAAACTGTGGCATTAGTTGTACTGGATCTGGGGGGAGGGAACCCACAGGGTTTTTAGACATCACTTTTAGGAAGTCATTGACCACAGAGACGAAATTTGTAAATAAATAACTTGTTCAATAAAAAAAAGTGGCATACATATATAAGGGAATATTATTCAGAATTTAAAAAGGAGATACTGCTATTAGCAAGAACATGGCCTGATCCTGGCAGGCACTTTTAAATAAATAAAGCCACAATCTACAGGAAAATACTCCACAGCTCTAGTTTGTGAGTTACCCAGAAGAAGCCACACACACAGAAACAAGATGCAGATTGATTTCCAGGAATGTAGGGAAGAAATCGGGAGGGATAGGTCAAAGGGCATAAGCTTGCCCTTACCCAGGTTGATGAGTTTGGCGATCTTTGAGGACTGGAGTTAACAGCACTGTATTGCATACTGAAAATGTGCAACACAATGTTCATCACCTTTATAATAAAAATGGAATAAATTTAAATTAAAAAGATCTTAGGGTAGATGTTTAAGAAATAATTTCAATGAATTCCCCAAATAATATTAACATTTCTGGGCATATGATTATAAGGATAGCAGAGGGAAAGAAACACAAAAGGTAGAATTAACAAATTCTTGGCTGAAGTTCACAGTTTTGAGGAAAACACTCTCCAAGGACCAAGGAGGCCAAGGACTTATTAAACTGGGATTTCATCATCTCCCAGCCCTGAGTGAGCAGGACAAGAAGCCATTCAACCTTAATTAGGCAGCCCACATGTTTTTCAATTAAAAATAGACTTGGAAGCCAGGTGCCAGTAACCCTAGCTACTCAGGAGGCTGAGATCCGAGGATTGTGGTTCAAAGCCAGCCCAGGCTGGAAACTCTGTGAGACTATCTTATCTCCAATAAACCACTAGAAAACTGGAAGTGGCTCTGTGGCTCAAGTGGTAGAGCACTAGCCTTGAGCTAAAGAGCTGAGCCCAGGCCCAGATTTCAGGCACCATGACTGGCAAAAAAAAAAAAAAAAAAAAGATATAAATTTTGCAAAAATTGAATTGAATGTATCAGTATAAACTGAAGAATCACATACAGACACAAGCTCACATACACACACATATATATCCACATATAGCTATGTCCAATAGCTATGAGAAAGGCTCATAACTATTGAACACATATGAGCTAGAAGAGGTCTTAAAATTCTACATCCTGCTAAAAGAAACTCATGCATCTTGAAGAAATAACTGCTGATCCAAGCTATTAATACCTTGTTACACCAGATAACAAGAATTTGAGTAGACACTACTAGGGTCACAGCAAAGTTCTGCAGAAGTTTCTAGTAGGTAGAATGGGAAAGTCTAAACTCAATAATATTACTGCTGGGTGTGGTAACATGCTGCTATAATTCTGTAAAAGAAGAAAATTAAGATCCTGCTGATCCTCCTAAAAAGCCTAGAGGTATGAGCTTTCTGGTAGACATGAGGCCTGGAGTTCATCTCCAATCTGAGGAAAAAGAATAAAAGCTAATTGTAATGGATACAAACTTCTTGAGTTCATCTCTTAGGAAAGCAATCAATTATGTTGACAGGTGGCAAATGAAGACAGAGTCAAGAATTATCATGTCTTTCCTATATTAATGGCAATCCTGAGAAATGAAATAGAAGAGGCAGGGATGTATTTCTTCATGAAAATGTTCCAACTGGCCGGGCGCTGGTGGCTCACGCCTGTAACCCTAGCTACTCAGGAGGCTGAGATCTGAAGATCGTGGTTCAAAGCCAGCCTGGGCAGGAAAGTCCGTGAAACTCTTTTTTCTTTTTTGTCTGTTGTGGGGCCTGAACTCTGGGCCTGGGCACTGTCCCTCAGCAATTCAGCTCAAGGCTAGCACTCTACCACTTGAGCCACAGCGCCACTTCCGGCTTTTTCTGCTTATGTGGTGCTAAGGAATTGAACCCAGGGCCTTATGCATGCAAGGCAAGCACTCTACCACTGAGCCACCTTCCCAGTCCCCCATGAAACTGTTATCTTCAGTAAACCACCAGAAACCGGAAGTGGCTCAAGTGACAGAGTGCTAGCCTTGAGCTGAAGAGCTAAGGGACAGTGCCGGGGCCCAGAGTTCAAGCCCCATGCCTGACCAAAAAGAAAAAAAATACTCCAACCCAGAGAACTAGGAAAATGTGATCCAAAAGTGAGAAGGAGAAACAATCAAAAGATCCACCAAATAGGAGTAAAAAACTCTGAGTAATGTGTAGGAGTATGTGTACAATACATAAAAAGAAATTGATCTTTGTAGGAAAAAAAATGATTACAGATAAGTGAAACAGTCGAATCCTAAATCAAGTATAGCAAGCCTGGAGCTAATGGCTCACACACACCTGTAATCCTAGCTACACTTGTAATCCTAGCTACTCAAGAGTCTGAGATTTGAGAATCAGTTTGAAGCCAGCCTGGGCAAAAAAGTCTTTGAGTCTCCTATCTCTATTAAACTACAAAAAAAAAGCTGCAAGGAGAGCTGTGGCTCAAGTCCTAGAGCATTAGCCTTAAGCAAAAGAAGCTCAGAGATAGCACCCAAGCTCTGAGTACAAGTTCCAGGACTTCTTCGCCTCTGCCTACCCCCAAAACCCCTATCAGCTGTGCACTTGTGGCTCACACCTGTAATCCTAGCTACCAAAAGTCTGAAACTTGAGAATTGTGGTTCAAAACCAGCCTAGGCAGACAAATCCAAGAGACTTTTATCTCCACTTAACCAATAAAAAGCCAGAAGTGGAGCTATGGCTCTCCCTAAGAGGAAAAAGCTAAGGGATAAAACCCAGGCCCTTCGGGGGATGGCGGGGGGGGGGGGGGGGTTGGGAAGGGGAAACAAAGGAGGCGGCTACAATGCTTGATAAGAAATGTATCCATTATCTTGCCCAAGTAATTGTAACCCCTCAGTACAGTATTTTCACAATTAAAAAAAAAACAAAAACAAAAACCCAGGCCCTGGTTCAAGCCATAGTATGGCAATGAAAAAAGAAAAAGTATATCAAATCAAAACCCACTAGTAACATGATAAATTATCATCAAATTTTTTTCCCTAAAACCTCAGAGGTAAATCAACATTAGGAAATTAATTAATGTGTTACATTAGTAACAAATCATTTTTTAAAAATCTGTGGTAATCCAGTCATACAAGGGTCCTTTAAGGTAAGGGTCTGCCTCCCACAGCCTCTTAATTAAAAAGAGCCTCTAGAGGGAACTTAAGACACTGTCCCTCAACCAAAAAGGGCTTTATCTGAGATTTGCAGGTGTGACTATTATTACATAATGGGAGCAACTCTGAAAAGATCACATGGTTAACCATACTGTCAGGTTGGACTGAAAAAGAAATAGTACAAAATGAAAAGAGACAACTGGATTCCAAAATTTCTATTGGCAGGAAGCAGGCTGATAAAAACACACAGCTGCAAATGCTTTTCATGAAAAAAGAATGACTCAAGCAGAACAGAGCTAGAAGGGTTGAGACCAGAGTGTAATCCCAAGGCCTTGAACCCTCATCAAGTTGCTTCTATCTCTTGGCTGGCTTAAGAATTGCGTGGGAAGCCAGGCACCAGTGGCTTAGGGCTGTAATCCTAGCTACTCAGGAGGCTGAGATCTGAGGATCACAGTTTGAAGGCAGAAATGTCCATGACACTCTTACCTCCAATAAACTACACAGAAAAAGCCAGAAGTAGAGCTGTGGCTCAAGTGGTAGAGTGCTAGCCTTGAGCACAAAGAAGCTCGGAGATAGCATGTAGGCCCTGAGTTCAAGCCCCAAGATTGGCAAAAAAAAAAAAAAAACTGCATGAGGCAGTAATACCTCTCCTTTGCTCAAGAATGTCTGTCTTCTTATGCTTGTTTCCCACAGTATGTTTAGTAAAGGAGGCTGTTATGGTTAGGATGTGGTTTTGGTGCTGAAATTTGTTTCCCAGTCTATCCGTGTTGGAAGGGTAGGGCCTGGTGGGAGGTGCCTAGAAGTGCCTAGAGTCCTCTTACAAGGAATAAGTGCCTCTCATGTGTCAGTTCTCACTCTGATGGAGAGTGATAGTTAAAATGCAAGTCTAAGCCTGGCACCCCAGTGGTTCACATCCATTATTCTAGCTATGCGATCAAGGTACAAACCCAGCAAAATTCAGAAACTCATCTCCAATTAACCAGCAAAATATCAAAAGTAGAGGTGTGGCTCAACTGGTAAGGATATAATGAACTGGTAGAGAACTAACAAAAACCCCACACCAATGAAGTTATGTGGGCCAGAAAATCCATATGCATGCACACATATACATGATGGTAGGTGAATACAAGGTATAAGTAAAAGTGTAGCCTGAACTCACTTTGACAGAGACACTCCCCCGGCTTTCCCAATCATCTCTTCATGGTGCAACACTGAGTGGTTCCATGGGATGTGGAGGAACTTTAAGAGTGTTCTCATCCACCGCTCAGGATGTAGGACAAGTTGTTCGTAGTGAACCATCATGCATTTCTGGTAACCGACCTCCACACACTGGTTATACATGGTCTCTATGGCACGGTTCCACTTGGTCAAACAGTCCCTGTAGCTGTTCAGGTCAAATCCAGCTATGGTCACTTTCCGAGAAATCATTGAGTGTACTGATGCCCGACCATCTCGGACCATCAAGAGAAACTTGGCATTGGGGAATAACCTAGCAAGGTAAGTTAGGGATTTCAGGGCAAAGGGATCTTTATTACATAAATAAGGGGCTGGCTCTCCATGCTTAACAATGATTTCTAATAAAAAGGCTTGCATGGCAGAATCCAACACATCATCGGTGACACCAGCCTCATCCAAGCGGATCTTCTCTTTGCTGGACCGTGACCACATCTGCTTCAGGGCCAGGATTCGAGGAATGACCCTGGTTTCCTCTCCACAGCGAATGTCAGGGTGTGCATCTAACATGGCCCTCATGAGTGTGGTTCCACTCCGAGGCACACCTCCAATAAATATTAAAGGCATATCCTTGTGATAGGCAAAGGTTTTGTTGGCTTTGATGTCCAGGCCAGTTTGCATAGAAGTCTTTATACTCTCCAATTTGACTGGCTGGCTACGTTCTTCTATGCGATGATGGCATTCCATGGCATGCTGGCCCAAGTAGAACACTGTCACAGAACTAATTACCAGACATGCCAGTAGTAAGTTCTGCTTCAGTTTTCCAACCATCTTGATGTGGTTATCTTGTTAACAAACAGATATTTTGCTCAAAGTAATTTTCAAGAGATGTTCAGGCCATGGAGCTTCTACTTCAGAAAGATGGTCAACATCTAGTAGGAAAAAGAAAGCTATTTGATTACATGATTGCTTGTAAATTAGCCATCAGTTAACACATTTGCATTTTACCTAGACAGAAGCTGAAACCCTAATAGTCCTAGAACACAGTACATACAAAGTATGTCATATATAATCAGAAAAACACTTTTTTTTTTGCAGTTTTAGTACAAGTGCTTGCTCTGTAACCAAGGCTAGTCTTGAACTTGTCATAATCCTGCCTTAACCTCCCCATGATGAGGATTAAAGGAGTGCACTACCATACCAGGCCGACAAACAGATTTTTTTTTTTAGCTTTATAGCCACTTTAATTCTCCTGTGTGTGCACTATTATTGGAGGTAATTCAAAACTGGTCAATGCATAGAGAAGAAAGATCTCAACCAATAAAAGGGTAGGTGCAGTGACACATACCTGTCATCCCAGCTACAGAAGAATAAATAGGAGGAAGATCCAGCTAGACCAGCCTGGGCATGAAGTACGACCCTATCTCAAAAATAATTAGAGCAAAAAATGCTGGAAGCATGGTTCAAGCTATAAAGTACCTGTCTAGTAAATGTGAAGCCTGGAGTTTAAAACCTCAGTACTACCAAAAAAGTAAAAATAAAAATAAAAGGACAGCATTACAGTGACTGCTGCTCTCAGAAAACAAAGTCTGGGCTGGGAAGGTGGCTCAGTGGTAGAGCGCTTGCCTTGCATGCATGAGGTCCTAGGTTCGACTCCTCAACACCACATAAGCAAAAAGAAAAAAAGCCAGAAGTGGTGCTGTGGCTCAAGTGGTAGAGCGCTAGCCTTGAGCTGAAGAGCTGAGGGACAGCGCCTAAGCCCAGAGTTCAGGCCCCACAACCGGACCCAAAAAAGAAAGAAAGAAAGCAAAGTCTTTGGGGCTAGGAAGATGGCTCAGTGGTACAGTGCTTGCCTTTGCATGCATGAAGCCCTGGGTTTGATTCTTCAGCACCACATAAGCAGAAAAAGCTGGAAGTGGTGCTGTGGCTCAAGTGGTAGAGCGCTAGCCTAGAGCTGAAGAGTTGAGAGACAGCACCCAGGCCAAGAGTTCAGTCCCCACGACCGACAAAAAGAAAAGAAACGAAAAGGAAAGGAAAAAGAAAAGAAAGTCTTCTGGACAGATATACAATGACAATAAATATGCTCAGGGCCTCAGAAGGGACAAAGGACATGATGAAATGGAGTTGTAAAATTCTCAGAGAAGGGGCTGGGAAGGTGGCTCAAGTGGTAGAGCGCTATCCTTAGCTGAGGGACAGCGCCCAGGCCCAGAGTTCAGTCCCTAGGACTGGGGGGTGGGGGGAAATAGAAGAAATGCATGCATTACCTGACTTATGAAATGGTAACCCCTCTGTATAATACCTTAATAATAAAATTATTTTAAAAAAGAAGTATCTGGGCGGGGGGAGGATGGGAAGGGATGGGAAGGGGAAACAAAGGAGGAGGTTACAATGCTTGATAAGAAATGTACTCATTATCTTGCCCATGTAATTGTAACCCCTCTGTACAGTATTTTCACAATAAAAAATAAATAAAAATTAAAAATTAAATAAATAAAAATAAAAAAGAAGTATCTGTGTATGCATGTATATATACATACAGTAATGTCAACAGACATTCATATGAAATAGTCACACAAGGCAAACTTACAGAGAAGGAAAACAGGGTGTATAAGTGAAGACTTAGCTGCAAACAGGCACAAAGCAACATCAGTAACAACTAAAAGTGTTCTAAAGCGAGGCTGCTGTTCGAGTTACACAACTCATTATAAAATCTAATAAACACCAAATTGTATTCTTACAATGGGTGACTTTCATGGTATATACATCACACCTCACAACAGATGTTTTTAAGACAGAATACATTAATAGAAAAATATTTTAATGGCCTCAATAGTATACATCAAATAAGATCTGGGTTTTGTTTCATATTCATATTCATATTCATATTCAATCCATCTGATATGTGTGAGCACATATTATTGTCCCAGGCATTATATGAAGCTTTAATCAAGCATTACAAAGAATAAGCTGAGAAAAGTGGCCTAAATAGACTTTAAAAAAAAAAAAAGAGGGCTGGGAATGTGGCTTAGTGGCAGAGTGCATGACTATCATGCATGAAACCCTGGGTTTGATTCCTCAGTACCACATACAAAGAAAAAGCCAGAAGTGACTCTGTGGCTCAAGTAGTAGAGCACTATCCTTCAGCAAAAAGCTCAGATAAAGGGCTCAGGCCCTGAGTTCAAGTCCCAGGACTGATCAAAAAAAATCAAAACAAAAAAAAAGAGCTTTAATTAAGATACCTGGTAACGATATAGATTTGAAATGTCTAATACAAAGCTGTAAATATCATGTGCAAAGCACACTTAGGGGATCAGCCCACAATATTCCACAGTAGTGGGCAGGAAGAAAAAAATAGGAAACAGAATTAAGATTTAACTCCAAAATAATAACACTATAAGTACCAAACTAACACTGTAAGTATCAAAACAAATGTTCACACATTTCCTAAACTGGGAAAGAAAAATGTATCTATAGAGCTGAGGGTCTATGTCTTAATGAAAACAAATGTAAACAGACCCCATATTATTCTGAACACTTCCAAAAGAATATGGAGACCAGGGGCTGGGAAGGTGGCTCAGTGGTAGAGTGCTTGCCTTGCATGCATGAGGCCCTGGGTTTGATTCCTCAGCACCACATAAGCAGAAAATGCCAGAAGTGGCGCTGTGGCTCAGTGGTAGAGTGCTAGTCTTGAGCTGAAGAGCTAAGGGACAGTGCCAGGGCCCAGAGTTCAGGCCCCACAACCAGCAAAAAAAAAAAAAAAAAAAAGAATATGGAGACCAAAAGGCCAAAAGAGATGGCATTTTATGTCTCTAAGATATTAAACATCTGTACTGTTTTTCCTCTGTGAGGGAGGGAGAAGGAGGGGGAAAGGAAAGGGAGAGAGGGAGAAAGAGACACTATTCATAAAGGAGTGTAGTCCTAACTGTGCTAGCAAAGCACAAAATCTCAGTTCCCCCAAAGACAATGTTAAAGTTATCTGTGTTCAAGCAATTCTGCCTGAGAATTAAATGTACCAATGTTCACAGAATCCTTATTCATAGCCAAAACACAGAAATAACAAAAAGTGCCATGCTGGTGGCTCACATCTGTAATCCCAGCTACTCAGGAGGCTGAGATTTGAGGACTGAGGTTCAAAGCCAGCCCTGGCAGGAAAATCCATTAGACTCTTATCTCTAATTAACCACCAGAAAACCAGAAGTAGCACTGTGGATCAAGTGATAGAGCACTCACATTGAGCTGAATAGCTGAGGGAAAGCACCCAGGCCCAGAGTTCAAGCCCCTTCACTGACAAAAAAAAAAAAAGAGGCTGGGAATGTGGCTTAGAGGTAGTGTGCTTGCCTAGTACACATGAAGCCCTGGGTTCAATTCCTCAGTACCACATACACAGAAAAGGCCAGGGGTGACACTGTTACTCAAGTGGTAGAGTGCTAGCCCTTGAGCAAAAGAAGCTCAGGGACAGTGCTCAGGCTCAGACAGTTCAAGCCCCAGGACTGGCAAAAAAAAGTTATTCAACTCTGTGTGCCTGTGTGTGTGTGTGTGCGCGCGCGCATGCATGCACACTGCTCCTAGGACTTTAACTCAGAGCCTGGGCACTGTCACTGAGCTTCATTTTACTCAAGGCCAACACGCTACCACTTGAGCCACAGTGCTATTTCTGGCTTTTTCTGAGTAGTTCATTGGAGATTAAGAGTCTCATGGGAAATGGAAGTGTCGCTGTGGCTTAATTGGTAGAGTGCTAGCCTTGAGCACAAAGAGGCTCAGAGACAGTGCCCAGGTCCTGAATTCAAGACCCACAACTGACACACACACACACAAAAAAGCATCTCATGGGTTTTCCTGCCTGCCTGGGCTGGCTTCAGACCCTGAACCACAGCTCTCAGCCTCCTAAGTAGCTAGGATTACAAGTATGAGCCTGGCTGTTTCTCAACTTTAAAATGGACAAAGTGTAGCATAATCATCTAATGTAAAATTATTCTACATAAAAAGAATGATTCTCAGTCCAAAAATTCATATGGAACAACAAAAGACCTAGAATAGCCAAAACAATACTAGGGAATAAGGACAACATGGGAGGGATATCCATGCCAAACTTCAAACTCTACTACAGAGCTATAATAACAAAGACAGCATGGTACTGGCACAAAAACAGACCCGAAGACCAATGGAACAGAATAGAAGATCCAGAAATAAATCCACAGGCCTACAGCCAGCTGATATTCAACAAAGGAGCCAAAGACATTCAATGGAAGAAACACAGCCTCTTCAACCACTGGTGCTGGGAAAACTGGGCGGCCACATGCAGAAAACTAAAAGTGGACCCCAGCCCATCACCATGCACCAACATCAATTCAAAATGGATTAAAGACCTTAACATTAAACCTGAATCTCTGAAACTACTGCAGGACAGAGTAGGAGAGACACTTGAACTAATAGGCACAGGAAGGAACTTCCTGAACAGAGTCCCAGGGTCACAACAAATTGGAGAGAGATTCGACAAATGGGACTACCTTAAAACAAAAAGCTTCTGCACAGCTAAAGCTATCGCAACCAAGCTAGAAAGACAACCAACTAATTGGGAAAAAATATTTACCAGCAATCTATCAGACAAGGGGTTAATATCCAGTATATACACAGGGAACTCAAGAAACTAATCCCTCCCAAACCTAACAAACCAATTACTAAATGGGCAAGGGAATTAAAGAGGGACTTCTCAGATGAAGAAATAAAAATGGCAAAGAAACACATGAGGAAATGTTCATCATCCCTGGTGGTGAAGGAAATGCAAATAAAGACAACCCTGAGATACCACCTTACCCCAGTCAGAATGGCCCACATCCACAAATCAGCCAACGACAAATGCTGGAGGGGATGTGGAAAAAGAGGAACCCTATTACACTGCTGGTGGGAATGTACACTTATACAACCACTTTGG